AAGGCTCAGCCATGTGTCTAGTTGAGGATAATAGAAGGTTCTCACAGCAGGAAGATAGCCTGCTCCACAAACAGTCCCAGAAATTGTTACAACATATACTCGGTGGTGATCAGCACCCAATAGAGGATTTGTTAGTACTCTTGCAAGACCAGATTTCTAAAGATAACCATAGATTAAGCCATTATCCCTAAAGAAAGCATGACTTTAGAATGCCAGTTATTTAGACTATCACATTTTTCTAATGTGAAGAATCATATTGACCAATTGATAGATCTGTGAATGTGATAACTTATGTAATTGTTAGAGCTTAGTCATTGCCTGGAACTGGAACTACTGGAATTAGAGTTAGCGAGATTATTTAGGTAATGTAAATAAAATCTCATTGCGATAAAAACTCAGTATCATAAATATAACTTGAACAAACTGTCCCAATTATTTTTGTATTTTATATGATTTCTCTTAATATTTTAGATTCTTCTTACTGACAGTCAGTACTCCTCTACTTTCATCTTATATGCCCCACCTGTTTGTTTTTTGTTTGTTTGTTTTTTGCCCCACCTGTTTTTGAAATCTCATTGGACAGATAAACTCTGAAATGCTATCCTTGCTTCAGGGAAGTTGAGATGATGTATTTTGCATAGAGCGAGTTGCAGGCAGATTTTGAGGAGAGACCAGAACAAACAGAATGGTCTAATAATTTCTTTGAAATAAATGTCTAAACCAGCAGATATCTGTTTAAATACAAATACTTAAAACTCATAAACAAAAACATATCCCCTTCCTACACAAACAGGATGTAAAATCCAGTTGTTATACCATTCACTGTTTGAAATTATCGCTTCCTGTGCCACAGCGGTAGTATAACTGATAATGGACTTTTTTTTGTGGGTTTTTTTTGACCCCAAATAGTTGATTACAAATTTGTTCAACTCTACATTTAAATTCAGTTTCAGGGCCTTCTCACCAGCTTTTATGTACAATTGCTGAAATAAATGTTGTGATCTATTGGCTTCAATACATGATTAAAGTTAACAACAGGTGGGGCAAAAATATTTTCCTGTGATAATTGCAAGTGAATTCAGAGACAGTGGAATTTTTCAGAAAAGATTTGTAATATACTACTGTGACAAAACTGCCCGTATAACCCTAGAATCTACTGTAATTATTGTTATCAGAAGGATGTCATTCACTGTTTTATTGTGTGTGCTAAATATATATAAAACAAGACATTTGCCACTTTACCTTTCTTTCTTTTAAAAACATTGATTGCGTCCTACATGGTAGAACAACCGTAATGGTCTAGAAGGAACCCTGGTGGTCTAGTGGTTATGTGTTGGACTGCTACCCTCAAGGTCAGCAGTTCGAAGCCATCAGCTAGCTACTCCATGGAAAAAAAGATGACGCTTCTATTCCAATAAAGAGATACAGTCTCAGAAGCCCACAGAGATATTTCTGCCCTGTCCTATAGGGTCGCTATGAGCTGGAATTGACTCGATGACAGTGAGTTTGGATGACAAGATAGTACGTTGCAGAGCTACTTGGTTCTTTTCTATCGTGCTATAAGTACCTGATTGGTATTTTCTTTTTTTCAAAACCATTTTATTGGGAGTTAATACATATATCATTCCATAGTTCAATCACATCAAGTATTATTGTACAATTGCTACCACAATCATTTTCAAAACATTTTTTTCCTTCTTGAACCCCTTGACATCAGGTCTATTTTACAACCCCTCCCTCCCCCCATATGATTGGTATTTTCTTCCTTCTTGTTAGGTGTGTTCTTCTGGCCACTACCCTAGTTATAAACATAAAAACACATTCTTTTTT